TTTAAAATTTTACAAATGCAGATTGATGAATATATGACAAATTGGCTATATTCATCAGAAAAACTGATCCATTTTTATATTGTTCTAATTAGCACCCGCAAACTCAGAGAGGCCACCAAAAGGGGTAACAAATATAGAAAAATATGAACAGATCGACGAATAAAACCAAGGAAATATTCATCAAGCCATATTCATCCTGATTTAAAATTTTACAAATGCAGATTGATGAATATATGACAAATTGGCTATATTCATCAGAAAAACTGATCCATTTTTATATTTGTTCCCCATCTCTAGTAAAAACTATGAGTACCTGAATAATACTTTATATCCTCTCTTCCACTACCACTTCCGTAACTTAGGTTTGATTGAGAGACACCAGTGGTCAAGGGACACCGAGTAAGCGTTGTGACTAAGCGGGAAATTGAATCAAGGTTAGATTGCTGAGTCCAGCATTCTTTCCCATTAACACTGTTCTCTGTTATGTTATAGCCATAGTCCAGGTTCACTGGGTGCTACCTAAAATGATATAAAGGCTGAAATATGTTGATAGAGAACAAAAACAATGCAATAAATAATTTGCTTTATTTGCATATTGTGCGGATATGCAAATTAAGCTGCAAAATTTACACAGCATGCAAATTAGACAACTTGGATTTGGAGAACTAGAATATTGCAAGCCTAACTGATTAGGAAGACCCCACGGTTCAAGTGTTGTTAATTTAACTTACTATTGAGAAACAGGAAAGTGAACAATCACTTTTAAACTGTTGGGTTAATTTAACATTTAATATAACCAGAGGCATCGTCTTTACTTCAGGATTATAGCTGAAGATAACCCCCATTTCTTGTGGATCCACTCCATATACAAGGCAATGAGATGGAAGTGCCTGAAGCATTTTCTTATGGGAACTTTGCAGTGTGTGGGTCCAGAGATTTAAAAAAAAATGCTGCTTGCCAACATAATGAAAATGTAGTGATGTGACCAGGTGGGTGGTGTTCTACACATGTCTGTCATTTTAATATACCTTGAATTGTTCTAATGATAAATGACTGTTTTAATGATGTTTTCAGTAACCATTGGGTTTATTGCTATAAATGAATTACTAGTACAGTAAATACATAATTTATCTGGCTGTCTATGGCAAGTAATAATTAATCCCAAGTATGCAGGCTTTCCATGAGTTGGGGTTTGAAGGAGGGATGATTAAGCCACAAATGACTAAGAGAGATGCATCAGGGGAGGCAGGCTAGGGAGAAAATCTTTGTGGCCATGTAACACTCAATGGGCTTAATTGCACAGCTGTGTTATAGGTAATTATACTTATGGCCCAATTCTAGGATACCGTATGCTAGCAATTAAATGTAGAATAGACATAACCACTGCACTGGAGCATTACAGCCCATTATCCTTTAATAATGTTGTAGGCAGTGCCAAGGTTATGTAAAACGAATACAGCAGCTGTAATAGTGATTGTCTGTAAGATTTTTTCCCCTACTTAGATAAGCATTTTGTGGATGAGATGAGAGCAGGGGGTTGCTTTTAAAGGTCTCTGAATAAGAACCAAGGCAACATGATTCTATTATGTATCATTGGTTCTCGTTTATAGTGGTATTTGTTATTTACTGTGAGTGGAGCCAACCCATTTCAATGGGAATGGAGACTATATGGCCCTTCAGGTATTCCTGGACTGCAACTTCCATCAACCCCAACTGGCCCAGTTAGGGATTAGGTTTTGGTGGGAGCGACAATGCAGCCATGCTTGGAGGACTACCCATTCCCCATCTCTGCATTCAACACAGTACAACAAAGCAGCAGTCCCCCCTCACCCCCAGTTGACCCGAGCTCCCCAGGTATTTCCACCTGTTGGAGAAGAGAGCATCATGAACCATATGGCATGTCCTAAAACTAGCCACCTGCCTAAGCTATGGAGAGGATACTCTCTTATTCATTGCTAGCCCAATTGGTTTCCGATGAGGAATGGAAGGAGGCTGCCATATTGTTCAGATAGCAAAATGTCTTGTTTCAACTCTGATGGTGTGCTTTGGAGATAATAATGAGCTGGAAATTTACACAACCAGCACTGGCCACTGGTCAGTGAAGCAATTTGCATAGCAAAATTGTCAGCAGCCCCTAGGTGGTAGCTAAATTGCAAACACATTTAAGTACCAATATTTTAAACATCAGATTGAGTGATATGTTGGGTACTTCCTGCCAGAATTGCAACTTACTGTGGGTTTGCAGTACGTTAAGCAGTGTAATTAGCATTAGGGTTTGGTTTTCATGTACATGTCATCCATTTTCCGAACCCACTAAGAATACTAACATTGCCGTTCTAAAGAGTCCAACCTATAGACAATCTGAGTATATCACTTCTGCTTCTTAGCATCCTGGTTCTCTAACCACAAAAAAAAAGGGGGGGGGGAGAGAAGAAAAGAAGGACATTTTCTGTCCCAACACATTATATTGGTTGGAACAAATAAAGGTGGGGGCACACACAAAAGAAATAAGTTTACAAAATAAATTTTCTTCCATCAGTTTTTCCTGTCTTTTTAAAAACAAAAACTATATATGGCAATTTGCTGAAATTTCAGGAAATAGTTTTCAAATCTTCAGGTGACAATGTCATAGAATAGATCTAGTCCTGTGTGAATTTTGAAACAAAGTGCCCCTTTCTGGTACAGGAAGATTTAACTATTGTTAGACTGTACCAGAGGCGAAGCATGGGCTCAATTGCTACTGACTAAGCATATAGTTACTGGTGGACAGTGGCCCCTCCCACATCAGCAGCATTTAACAGTGGTAACTGTCCACTGCAGGCAGCCATTCCATCACCAACCATATGTTTGCTAATGCTAATTAAGACACCCATTCCTTATAGTACTTAAAGTTACAAGTGAGACCTCCTGTCTCCCATCAGTTACTGCACAATAGACACTGGTAGCCATGAGTGAACTGCTTCATGTGTGTATGTGGTTTTTTTTAAGTGTTCAAAATATACAGTAGTATGGAGTATTACAAGAGCTAGTGTGATATAGTGGATAGAGTGCCAGACTTGGGAAATCTGCAGTCATGTCCTTGCTCAGCCATGGAAATTAACTATGATGTAGCAAAAAAATGTATTAGGATCACCATACACTTGACAGCACATTACTGTACAAGGAAACAGAGCATTCCAGCATAGAAAAATGTGAACAGGATCAGAAATAGCACACATCCTTAGTCCAATTCAGGCATTCTCTAAGTGCAAAACCTTTCCATAGAAAATTGAGCAATGCAATCATGCCATTAGTAAGACACTCTATGCTCTGAGCAATATTGGCCATTTGCCCCCTTGATGTCTACATATTGGTACTGAACTTGGAGAAACTACCTCTTTGTACTACATTCCCAGAATCTCCCAACCAGTTCAAAATTCATTGTCCTTAACACTACAGGCTCTGATGACATTTTGGCTGATGATAATGATCAAATGTAGGTCTTAGGAGGAAGGAACTATTCCATTATGTATCATGTTAACTTATGTGCAGGCAAGCAACGAAACAGCTGTGTGCATTATTCTGAGCTGGAGGGTGCAATCAAAGACAGTACAAAAACTGGCAAACTAGTAAAGAATGTGTGGTGGTTCAGTCCTTCCAACTCCTAGGATCTTTATAAATTCTCTCTGCTTCAATCAGATAGTCAAAAGAAGTTCCTCGGTAGTCACCAGTACTACCCTGAGCATCTACTCAGCAATGTGATGCAGCCCTGACAACACAGTGCTACTCAAGGTTTTTATGCTGCTTTTTGTTGTTGTTTGTTTGTTTGTTTCTACAATTCATATTCTGTTAAAGCAGTGGCAAGCTCCCTTTGATAGTAGTCATGCCGGACTGAGTTCATTTCCCATCTATCAAAAGGCATAAGCTAGTTTGTTTTTTCAGAGGGGGTCCTTTGAGACGTAACTGTCCCCTATGAAATAGTCATGTCACAGAAAGAAATTTCGGGAAATCTACTTTCTCCCAGGAGCCATTCCTACACTGTCAGACACCCAAGTTGTTGGGAGAGTTAATAATGCAAAGCAGCATTCACAAAGACAAGGCCCACTGCTGCTTGCCCAGCTATTTTAACCAAAGCCCCTATTATATGACCATGTAGTAAGGGGCTGAGCTAGAACATGGAAACATGTCTCTTCATCAAAACAACTATATTAGGAACATTCATAACTAAGCTTTGAGTAACTTGATAACCACATAGTTGGGTACTGTTTGACTAGAATGGGAATATTGTAACATCTGAATTAGACTTCTAATATGCAACCCATAAAGTGTGTTATATGAAAGGAACTCTGCATCAATGTTTATAGTTAAATACACTGAGCGTTTTTCTTCATGTCTCTCATACACTCACATCTACACCCCATCTACTATATTTTAGCTTCTTCAGTACTTCCACATATTTTTCCATCTAAGCCAGTGGTCCCAATTTTGGGTCTCCAGATGTTCTTGTACTGCAACTCTCAGAAATCCTGGCCAGCACAGGTACTGGTGAAGGAGTTCTGGGAGTTTTAGTCCAAGAACATCTGGGGAACCAACATTGGGAACCACTGAATTCTAAGCCATGATCCAAACTACCCAATATAAAAACTCACTTACCACCCAAACTGCTGTATATTCCACACAATCCTTGCCAGTATGACCATAAAATTTCATTGCATGGTTAACAATGTGCAGTTATATCTGTACCAAATACAGATTATTGCAGCAGCTTTCTTGGGACCGAACACTCATCACACACTCTGTCACAGCCAATTCATACCTGTCATGCTGCGTACAAAAATGAGAGAGAGAAAATGAGAGAGAGATGTAGTGCCCATACAGTGTAACTTGCATGTGTCCATGCTGATCTATCAATTTTCATTTATTGCGTAAATAGCTTTTCTATGGAGCTGTAGCCCTTTTCTGTACACATGTCATACACACTGATATGATAAATCCTCAGCAACTAATTAATCTGTACTCACCTTAGCGTAACAGAACGAGATGAGCAGCAGAGGTAACAGGTACCCAAAGACAAAAGTGCAGATCACGTAGATTTTTTTCTGCTGAAGATTGGGCCACACTTCCCAGCAGAAGGTCTGATTAATAGTTGCCTGGTGGACAATGCGCTGGTGGTGAGCCACAGGTGAGGCCATGGCAATAGAGAGCAGCCAGATGACCCCTACACCCAACAGTGCGTTACGGGACACCCGGAGGGATGAGGAGCGCCGAGAATGCACAATGGCCACATAGCGGTCCACAGACATTGCCGAAAGGGTGAAGATGCTGACCAACATGGAGACAGTGAAGAAGTAGTGGATAAACTTGCAGATGAATGTGCCCAGCGCCCAACTGGGCAACATATACACGGTCGACTGGAAAGGGATACAGAAGACCAGATAGGCCAAGTCGGCGATGCTCAGGTTGAGAACAAAAATGTTGGTGGTGCTACGGGGCTTTCCGGGCTTGTTGCGGGCAAGCACGGTGATGACCAAGGAGTTACCCAGGACGCCCAGGGTGAAAATGAGAACAAAAACCACCAAGGTGATGAAGTTCTCAATGCCAATTTCAGAGAGGAAGGTGCCGTTCTCTTCCATCGGGTGATGCTCAAGGGATGACCTGGAGGCGTTGGAGCCTAGCCAGGGTAAGCCCCAGGTCTGGTTCATGTAGCTGGAGGTGGCAGACGCCTCGGTGTCCATAATGCTGCCACAGCTGGGGGGGGGAGAAAACTTGACAGAATCGCTCTGGAACAGCCCAACTCGCTTCCCTGTCCTTTCAAAGAAACCTGTGAAATGGGGGCTCTGCTGCCGCCGCCGCCGTCGCCCCCCCCCAACTGCCCAAACCTTCACAGAGAAGGAACACCCTAGTAGTCCTTGCATTCAAAGGGTCCCACGAAACCCCTGGAGAGCGGCGCGCAGGGGGGGCTCATGGTCTGTCATGAGTTTTTCAGGGTCTCCCTTTCCGGCTCCTTACTAAAGAAGGGAACACTTCCCCACCGCCTGAGCCCGGCCAAGGGAGGAGGGCAGGAGGCTGAGTTTCCAGCGGCTCTTGCCCTCTCTGGGTCTCGCTGCCAGCGTGCAGAAGCCGCCCATGGGCAGAGTCGGACGGGCAGGGAAAGAGACGGCCGCCCGCTCTGGCTGGCGGCGGCGGCGGCGGCTCCTCTTCGCGGCTCCCCTT